CTGTTTTCTTGCTGCCTGTGCCTGGTCTCGATCCTTGCTCTCCCGCCCTGTGCTCTGCCTATTGCCCTATGTAGGCCCTGCAACAATGATCTACTTTATTGTAGTCCATGTCATTTTCTCTAAAATTAACCTTCGTGGCTTTATGCCTTATACTAGCCAGCTGACAGTCTGAAGCCATTCAATGGGACTGATAACGACTAGCATCCATTTAATGGATGATAACATCCGAAGCGCGTGCGACACCAGTTTGTTTTTCTGCTGCCTCTGGCTGGTCAGAAATCACAGATGGAATCCCGCATAGACCTGAGCTTTTAGAAAGCTAAGGCCAGTGAGTCTTTAACTCGAATCAGGGACCCAGCCCATCTGAGTCAGCAGTATTTCCATTAACTTTTTTTTACCCCATCAGTGACCTGACTCATCTGAGTCTGCAGGGTTTTCTGGGATTTTTACAGTAAGCCCACAAACCTGAGGACTAGCAGTTCTCTGCCAGAGGACACGTGATCTGGGTTTATTGAGACTTTGGACTCATGAGTCCTAAATCAGGGGTGAGGATTTGGATCATAAGTGCACAATTTTGGCACAATTGGCCAAATCATTAAAAAACAGATATCAACCTGATTTCACTGTGCCAGGATTTAAAAAAAATGCATATAATGAAAACCTGAGTGCAGTGGATCTCTGAAAACCATAAATACATTTCTGTATCAGAGGGTTAAATAACATGTCAGGCAGCTGTGACAAGACCCAGATCAAATCAAATCCTTGACCCGTTCACCCCCACGGAATGGACCTGACTGAGGAGCCATAGCAGCCCTGTCTCAGAGACTCACTGCTGCCAATATGGCCTCAATAAATCTCTAAGCCTTATGTAGGTCACCTTCCCACAGAATAATGATCTCAGAGTGTATTATGTTCAAGTTCTTAACCAAAGATATTTTATTTCTCTGTAAAAATGGATTTTCCTCATGCACATTAATGTTTTCCAGGCTGATAGATTAAGTCATTGACATGATGCGAAAAATTCATCATTTTCTAATGTTTTGTGCTGAACTKACTCAGAGTGGGTCGATTCAAAAGACAAAATATGTTTTTGTTTCATTTTTTTTCTCTTACTGTAAATCAACAGTCTTGATAAGTTGTTTTAGTTCTGTAAYGATACTGCCACCATGAAAGGTGAGCAGTCATGTATTACCCTGTGTCTGTGAGCGCACGTTTWATTGAAACTCCCAGAAAGTAATCACTGGAAATACATGAAGAACTGACAACTAAATTCAAGATGGCCACCACATTAAAAAACACAAAACTTTCTGYAGCTCAGTCATTTTTACAGATATTGACTTTAAATTTGGTGTGGCAGTAACTGAGAGTTACTCACAACAGACTGAGAGCAAAATCTTTGTTTGAAAAACCCATGCATGCAAAGAGGCAGGTGACATGCATGCCTTTGATTTAAACCTYGAGTCATCAGTTTTAAAATCTTCCATTGGGACTTTTCTGAATTGTCTGCAAACCATAATCACGCACGGGAAGTTCACAAAATAACAAAAGCAGAAAGCAACTCCAGCAGAAACCTTTCTTACAAAATACTTAAAACAAGGAAAAAGCAAAGCAAACTTCAACCAGAATATTGTTTTTCATCTATGTTAGCRTAAGGCAAAAACTGAAAAATACCACATTGACTTTAATTTAAATTTTTTTCTGAGATGATTTCAGAGCCTTTATATCGTGTATCATGACCCACAATTCAGGAAGTAAAATATTTTGCTGTCAGTCTGTCATTCCTCCTCCTCATCTCCTCCGTGTGTCTTTTTTCTCMAGAGGTWGAGATGAYGTGAATKAGCTCAGCRGCTGGCTGAAGCTCCTCCAGATGTGCTCAGACAATAAAAGCATTTGTTGTTACTCACTTCAGCCCACTGGAAACTAAAGCAGAGACTAAAAGACGATGAGATTTAAGAAAAATCTTGTAAGAAATTGTCATGCAATGCGTTTTTAAAATGTGATCCTAAAGAGTTTAATTTAAATAGAAATCAGAACTGCTTATCAGATGATGGTTTAAATACACAAAGGGCACAAAAATATATCTGTGTTTTGAATGTATGGATTGATGCAAGCACCAAAATGTACATCTCAGGCGTACACACATGCAGTTAAAGTCTCCCTTTTCAATTCTAAGACCTAACCTGGAGTTTTGACTTATTGACCAGACAAAACTGAGAATTTTGTCACCAAAAAAAATTCTCACATTTTTTTGAACAGGCTCTTTCACAAAACACTTTAAGGGACTGTCTGAGCCAGCATAAAGATGAACCGGTATGTGCAGCTGCTTCACAAAACTGTTTTTGTAAAAAAAAAAAGAAAAAAGAAAATAATAATAATAATTAAAAACTCATCACAACCCAATTTAACACGTCTATAAAAGTGACAAAGGTGCAAAGTGACAGCCTGGTGTTCTTGCTGACTTCAGGGTGACCGAGCAGCGGAGCCAGGAGGATGCTGAGGAGGTGGAGCGGGAGYGAAGGAGGAGAGCCAGGGAGAAGCAGAAAGGAGATGGAGTCCTCTCCTACTCGGAGCCTCAACAACACAACGTCACACACAACACAGAGTGAGTGTGGCAATCTGTCACACAGCCACACACTGCTTCACTTCTCTGYACTCGTGCTCTAGTTGTGTCAGAAACTTATGATGAGAAAAAAGTTGTGTTGTAACTTCAAAAATATTAAGTATGTGAGCATTAGTTTGCTGTAAACACAGAGCAAATATATTTTAATACATAGCATTCTGTGGAAAAGGTATKCTATGTATTRAAATGTACACACACATACACACACCTAATACCATGCTTCTCTATCCTTGTGGGGACTTYCCATTGACGTCCATTCATTTTTTGGTAATTTTATATCCTAACCCTGACCATTTACCCTAAAATTAACCTCACAGGTACCAACCTGACCCTAAAACTAACCTAAACTCACACCTTGGTCCTAAACATGACCCCCACCCACACACACACAGTCACGTATATGCTGTATATAATTCTATTTTTTATTTCATTCATTTAACTTCAATGTGATCTGCAGTGAGAGAGGAGAGCAGGTGGAAGACAGTCTGCAGAGGTGAAGGCATGCTATAGAGCAGGGGTTCTGCATGTTTCAGTTGTTTCCCTGTTTTGGCACACCTGATTTAAATGAATGCGTGATTGACAGGCTTCTGCAGGACTTAAAGACCTGCTGAAGAGCAGGGAAACAACTAAAACATGCAGGATCCCCGAGGACCACGGTTGAGAACCACTGCTCTAGAGAAAAGAGGAATGAAAGTGAGAAGAGATACAGAATACGTGTATGCATCAGAGAAAGGAGGGTGGGATAGTGAAGCTAAAAGGAATAAAGGTACTGAAGGATTAACATTAGGTTCCTATAAGAGCAGGAGGTGAAGAAGAGAAAGAACAAGCAGGGTTGACTGGATGGAGACAAGCTTTAGGGATTATTTGGGAACAGAAGTGCTGCAAGAGTGAGAGGGATGTCAGACCTGCTGCATTTTTTAGTTTGGTAACTG